GCTCTCCTCTATCTCTCAGACTGACCGCCTCACGTTGCTTGTGTCTGTTTTTAACAGGAGGAGAGTGTGCTCTGTTTGAAGCGTAAAGGCTTTATAGGCCCATTTAAGTCATTGGGATGATTTATTTCTTGGATTACAATATGGGCCCACTCCGTAGATACATGATCCAACCTGGCATTGTTATTAAACCAGGCAAGGTGTGGTATCTCAACTTAAAACCTTGTTTATATTAGGTTTTTAAAAAATTAAAGGCTAATTAAAAATTTAGATTGATTTATGCTAGTATTTTTAATATAAAAAAAATGGAGTTAATCCGTGGGATTAATTCCCTGTAACTATGATTTAAACGTTAAATTTGATTTTTTAAATATATTAAAATAATTATTTTATATTTTTGACATAAATATATTAATTATAAAAAAACACTAAAAAATAATCCATTTATATTTCTTTCAAGAAAAATACTCTTTTAAAACGTAATCATACGTAAAAGGAACCTTATTTTCTGCTTTTAACCGTAGGGGACGAGAGTTTATGGACGAAAGACAACTTCCTCAAAGACTTAACTACATTAGACGACATGTCATCCATGTCACGCAACAAAAATCTGCCATTTACTTGCAACCACCACCAGCATCATTTTCACCACCATTAAAAATTTCGAGAAATACAGAGAGCAACACAGGGAGAGAGAGTAAGAGAGAGGTGGGTTTCATGGAGGAGCAAGGCAAGCAAAAAAAGAAGAATAAAAAGCCATTATCATCATCTTTTTGCCCCATAAACAATCTTGATGATGGTTGCCTTATGCACATCTTCAGCTTCTTATCCCCAATTCCAGGTCTGTATCCTTTTCTTTTTCACCTTTATTTTTATGTCTCTCTCTGCTTGCACGTGCTGTGTGAACCTTAATTGAATAAAAAGTTGAAACTTTTTGCTATACTTTGGTTTAGTCAGGTGTATTCGGCCTTATAGTATAAAACCCTATTCTCGGAATTTGTTGATAGATCCATGGAAGATTGAGTTTTCAGCTGTTTTTGACATCTGGGGTCTTAAGATATTGGTGTAGTTTTGTGAAAAGTCTTGATCTTTAGTTTATTTTTGCCTAGATTTTGTTAAGTTGACCATTTTTTATGCTTAGTCGTTGGAGTTTGTGTTCTTTTGGGAATTGGAAGAGTATGAAATTTAATTCATTTGGTTGATAAATTGCAGATTAGAGAGAGGGAATCAGCATGAATTATGCGAGTGAACCTTGTTAATTTATATAACTTTTGCATTGCTTATGTAAGGTTCACCAACTGAAGAAGATTCGATTGGAAATTGCAAACACAATTTACTGGGGAAAATGAGGATGTTAAGTTAAAAATTTATTTGCAGTGGCTGCATAAATCTCAACGATTATTTTTGGTGACTACATTTGGCTCAGTGGTGATACAGCTGGGGGGGGGGGGGGGCATTTGTAATAACCTTTTAGTGCAAGAATGTCCTATATTTGTATTTTGGTTGCTAGCATATTTTTCTGTTATTGTTTTAGTGTTTTTTGGTGGCTAGCATATATTTCTGTTATTGTTTGAGTGTTTATTATGTTAGGCAAGTAATTTTTTTTTATCTTAAGTGGAAAACAGCAATATGATAATTCGTGATAAATTTACACCCTTGACACTTGTGTGGCATAATTTTGAGCAGTCTGTGTCATGAATTGCTATTGAGTTTGCAGATCGGTATAACACCGCCCTCGTTTGCCACAGATGGTGTTACTTGGCATGTCATCCTCGCTTATGGCTCCGAGTAGAACAATCTGCCAAAGATTTATCAGAGCCTGGAGTTTTCCCCAGCATTGAGAAGGCTGTCTCTGCTGCTAGGTATGTATGGTGACATTTTCTACATATATTTTTCAGGAAGAATAGAGGGAAACAAAATCTAATCATGATTATTGTTCCTTTAGGCCCGGTGACACCATTCTAATTGCAGCAGGTGGGAGGCATCTTGCCTCTAATATTCAAATAAACAAACCTCTTTGCCTGGTATGTGCTGATGATTTTATACCTGGTGATGTTATTCTATCTTTAACTATAGCCTATTATTAATAAATACCTCACAAGTGGACTCGTTGGTGGAATCCTCTAGCTGTCAATATCTCCTACATTGGATCTTGACTAAGGATCCAACTACTTGACCTCTAGTCTGGGCTGGAATAACCATGACTGAGGTTACATTGCTTCAGGAGTCCTTTTTTTAATTAGGAGCTTTTTCTTTCTATTTAACAAACCTTAACCATTTTTTTTTTTACATTTGAGTCTTTTTTTGTAGTCAGTACACAATGCACAATACTTGTAGGATAGGGATAGCATTGATTCAACCGTACTTGCCTGATACACAATCCTTGTTGGAGCATCTGTGCTTCATGTTTTGCCCCATCGTTGACCGACTGCTTATAGTTTGCCCCATTAATTGAACCAGCTACATGTAGGTGCTGTCAACATATGATGGCTCTTATTCAGGTGCACATCAGCACACAGTTTATGTCAACCTAATGCTCAAAATTCAACTGGCATCACCTTGGTGAATTGTACAATGCAGATCCATTGTAGGTTATTTCTTTTTTCTCTTTCAACGATTCTAGATTTTACTACATGAAGAAGTCAAGCTTCATGTATCATAGTCATGTAAAGCGACAATGTGTGAACCAGTATTTTGACCATGATGTTGTTTTCAGCACTTGGGATGGGGACGTGCTTTGTTTTTGATAATAGTCATGTGCACTTTTTGATAAAACCTATTCAAACTACAAGTGGCTGGCATCTTCGGTTTATTACTAGGGAATTGAATAGTGAACTTATGTAGTAGATAAATTTTTCCAGATTCTGCATCTTCTATCACAATTTACTTTGTTCAGATTGGTGGTGGTGAGCTTCCTGATGAAACAACTCTCTTATGTTCTCGAGGGTCAGACAGGTGTGTTGAGATTTTATTTTTTTCTCCACATCATATTGTTGGATGGTGATCTGACTAGAGTTCTCTCCACATAAATTATGCGGAGCGTCAGTGCTTTTGGATCTCAATTTGCTAATATTGAAATTAAAGGATGTCTTTCCTGTCCTCAGAATTTATGCTTGTATCATTGGTATGGCATCCATATTGCTTAGCGATGCACTAATGCACATCAGACAATCACTAAAACACGCTCGACTTCTTGTGTATTTCTTTGTATGATTATAATGAGAAAATCTCTTCAAATCAACTAATATGACAAGAGTAAGGTTACATGCCCACAATATTTTATGCAACTGTGATGCCTGATCGTCTGGCTCCTTATTAATGTCTCTTTTGATTTTAATGTTAGCTACTTTCCTTGCCTGGGATTTTGTTGTCGAACAGTTTAGAGTGGACACCTCAAAATGTAACCATCCTAAGTCACAAAATTTGGTATATCCTGTTCAATTCTTTATGCAGTGCACTGGAGTTCATATCTACATGCAAACTAGCAAACCTAACAGTGAAGGCAGAGCTTGGTTGCTGCTTGCTTCACAAAAGTGGAAGGCTAACCATTGACAGTTGCATACTTCAATGTGAGGCAAGCCCTTTGGACTATCTCTCGTGCCCCATCATCAGTACAGCAGGGGGGAATGAGGTGGTGTCTTCCGCAGTGAAAACCAAAGGTAATAGAGTTTCTGTTTCCCAAACCAGGATTGAAGGAGGTGCCAAAGCTGTTCTGACAAGTGGGGACCTGACATTGCAGCAAGTTCGAGTCATTTATGCTCGAACTTTTGTTTATTTCTGGTTTGATGTGGATTCTCAGTGATGATCAATTCTTCATCACGAGCTTGTCTGTGCCATAATGAAACTAGTTACATTATTGTTTCTCACTGCTGTATTGATTCCCAATTTAGATAATTTAATCTAATAACACGCTTTCTAGCTTTCTTTGCATAATTGCCAGTACACTTGCCCTCCTGTAATTTCACTTAATATGAAAAAAAACTTGTTCGGTCCTTCTCTATAATTTGACAAGTTTATTTATTCCTTGCTTACCGTAATTGCCTTATCTCCTGCATTCCAACTCTGATAATGAATGTTTTTGCTCTGAAAACCCCCAGTTGATTTCTATAAAAGCTCCACTGGAGCTTGTGCAATGAGAAAAGTCACAGTACATACACTCTACAAAAGAGTAATCAGACGCCACATCAGTCCAAACAATAATGCCACCAACACCAAGCCGTTGTCACAGCAAGATTCAATATAATAAGTTGCCTGTTGCCAAAGCAACTGATAATAGTCATTGAAATGGACTCAAGGACTGTAGAAATGAACCCCGGGACCATTTCTTTTGTTTGATGGTAAGTTACATCGAGCCAAGAGAAAGACATTAAGTTCCATGGATGATCCCAAACCCAAGGAACGTTTTTTGATAGTAGAAACATTGCTTATGGAAACAAAAGTACAGGATGCTTCCCAGATAGAAGCACACAACTCGAGCTACACCCATCTAACTAAGAGAGCAATTTCAACAATGATGCAGCTAAAGCACCATACGGCATCTCAACTACAGGCTTCGAAATCTTCTATTGCACCATCTTAGGTACATTAGACAGCTCATAACCAACCGTAACCTGTCTTTATTTGTTAAGTTGCATTTGATTAGTATTCGAGGACAGGAGACAGATACGTATTTGGTTACAAGGATGAAAATAGTATCTCGGGGATAGTTTTAGTGTGAGTTCCTGTGAGAAGAAGAAATCCAAATTGTCGCATTTTAGTGCTTGGTTTAGCGGTGGAAGGGGCTTGTTTCTTTCTACTGCACCTGGATTCGAGCCCTGGCGTGCACGCCTGTCACTCCCGCGGTGCTTTACATGCCTACTGGGTTTGCAGGGTATTCAGTGGGCCGTGGGGATTAATCGTGGTATGCGCAAACTGGCCCGGACACCCCCACATAAATAAAAAAAATCCAAATTGTCCCAACTTTTTGAGAATTAAAAAACTGAAAAATAATCCATGGCAAAGTGCCTAAAATTAAAAAAAAAAAAAATCGTTGTCTAATAGAGAGAACTAATAACGAAAGAAAGTAAAAAAGCCCTAACAAATAGCCTCCACAGAAAGGGTCTTGATAACATCATCACCACAGGTAGTCGAGCCAAATGTAGCTTCGGAAACATCAATGGTGCACGACTCCTGGCCAACACATGCCTGTGAAGAAGAACAAAAATGAAAAATTAACTGGTTGCAAAGAATAATAAAATAAAGTAGAAACAAAAGATAAACACTTTACCTTTTCGACAACAGATAATGCATCCTTTGATCCCTCACAGTATCCCTTCACAAAAGATCCACAAGCCCCTTGTGGATTACCGAAGCTAGCAAATTTAACAGCAGAAATCGGTCTTCCCTGGCATGAGAGCTCGATCTTCCTGTTCTCCTCAGCACTGATGCATGCTGATCCAATAGCAATAGCTTGGAAATTAACCGATGAAGGGTTTCCACCAAACTCTTCAAACAAGACCAATGAGTTATCGCCATTGTCATTGAGGAATGATCTTGGGACATGATACCTGACAAAGACATCAACTGGAACGTTAAAGCAATAGCAAAATTATCCTCAGAAAATAGTTCTTCGAAGGGAAAAAAATGATCACCATCTTTGAGTTGGATGGCCACAGTTAGAGAGACATTTGTTGCTATCGTATGAACCTCGATAATCACATGGTTCAAGATTGCAATCACCCTCAGCTATGAAACTCGGCCAATATCGTCCAATGCTGTTACCATTAACCCAAGCTAGACCTTTTCCCATTCCAAGTAAATCTACCACAACAGGATCTGTTCCCAAAGGAGCTTTGAACACAGTCTACAAAAATGAAAAATAATTTATAATATGTCACCACAAATTCCGTGTTTTAAACTATGGTTCAATCGCAATTTCAAACACAATATATTACACAAATAAACATGCATTATGTATAATACATTAAGGTTTTGAAACGCAACAGAAACAATAACTTGCACGTCTAATGCATTAAAATTAATTAATTTAATTTACCTTGTACCAAGTTAAGGTCCTGTTTACAGGGAAGCTATCTTCTTGCCACTTAAGAGACTGACTGCTGTAGAGTTCTTGATTCAGACCTTCCAATCCAATCTTGTATGACCATTTTTGTGATGATAAATCCTTGACAACTATCTCATCATCACCATGGTAGCCAATCAGTTCGACTGGACCAGTAATCCCAGATGGTGCCAGATCAAAATTGGCTCCATAGTTCTTCAAATTTATTGAAAAGAAAACATTAATTAAGCACTAATTAACAATACTTACTAAAAGATTATTAAAAATAAGGATTGATTTGTACCGTGAAACCAACTGTAGCGCTGAGCAGGCTAATTGTGTTTTTCTTATGATTCAATTTCACGTTTTGCTCAAAAACAAAATTCTCACCGCCATTCTTAGACCACTGAGAACCTATCACCATATGATAAATAAATTTATCCACATTGTAATTAAAATTTAAAATATATAAAAACAAATAAGAGTTAATATCCAAGATTTTTCTTTTTTCTTACCAATAAGTTCTCCATTAACAAAGGCATGAAGAATTTGGCCGCTACTTTTAACCCGGAGTGTCATATTATAACTCCAGACTGGATCATCTTTTTTAAGATTAACACTATTAAATGAAAAAAAATTAACCAAATAAATCTCCAATAATATAATAAATAATGTATTCAAACAAAAAAATAATAAATAAACATCGAAAAATAACCTTGTCATGTAGAATAAATAATCACTCAAATCATTCGCCGCCTCTTTTTGGTCAAGAATCTGATTAACGGTGACATCTCCCTTTGCAAGAAGTATAGTCCTATCGTCCATTTCAGGTCTCCATGACCATTTAAGAGAAATGGGCTCATCTTCAGCGACGTTTGCTTTCTTGACCATCACTGATGTTTGAGTAGATACCTGGTAATATATAAGATTTAATAAAAATATTGTAATAAACTATAAATTTGATATAAAAAATATAATAATAACTAATAATAGTGATATATGTTTGAGCTGATAACTAATAATATTGATATACAACTTATAGAGTTTTGATAAATAAATTAATAACTTATAAAATTTTGATAAAAATATTAAAATAAACTATAAATTATATTTACCTTGGCTGTGTTGTAAGACACATTTAGACAATCTGGAAGTATACTAACAGACCATGCCGGTACTGTATAATTTACGCCTTGGAAATTGATTCTTTTATCACTCCCTTGGTCTACATTGGCCAAAAAACAGCTTGATCCACCTTCTTTTGAATATATAGTGCCCTAAAAAAAAAGATGCAATATTAAAGCAAAATCAAGTATTAAATGATTAACAAAAATAAAAATAATATTAAAAATAAGTATTAAATAATTAACAAAAAAAAATTACCCAAACAGAATCATCACCCAAATCGACAGAGGAAACGTTCCCTGTTGTAAGAATATCCTCCATGGAATGCAATAGGTCATGAAGTTGCTTCAAATGCCCCCATTTTGGCTGGTTCAGGTTTCCTGTTAAGAATTATATTAAAAAATATAACTATAAAAACATATAAGAGTATGATCTCAAACTTTGTAGTAAAATCAATAAAATAATTCTTAAATAAGTTGTTAACATATTCATCGAGGGGTGCGTCATAATCATAGGATGTAGTAATGTATGGACCCCCCGCTGATCGACCAAAATTAGTTCCACCATGGTACTAAAATAGCATAGTATAAAACTAGTGTTACAAAAAAATAAGTTAATTTGAGAAAATATAGTTATTATTAAATAAAATTGTGAAAATAAAAGATTTAAAGCATAAACTAACCATATAATAGTTTTGGAAAGTGCCTCCCATCTGATAAAATCTTGCTACAGCAAAAGCAAGATCCTCAGCAGTCCTGTGTGGATCTTTACCACCCCAATTCTTATACCTTGAAAAAAGTAATTTTGAAAATTATAATTAAATAATATATTAATTTATATGGAGTTTTAATTAATATTATGTAAATAATATATAAATAAAAACACATGAATTACCAGCCAGTCCAATTCTCAGTCCACATTTTAGGAATATTTGATCTCCTAGGCTGGTATTGATCACAATACCAACCATTGCATGTACTGATCTGTTCACAGTAATTACAAAAATTAATCACAAAATGAAATTAAGATATTAATATTTATATTAAAATTAAAATCACTAATATTAATAAAAAAAATAAAATCATGATTACAAAAACCAGCTCTGACGTGCTAACAATAATTATTTAAAAATATCAATTTTTATAGTAAAATTAAAATTACTAATGTTAATAAATAAAATACTACATTTTCATAAGATTAATGCAAAAATCAATCACAGATAATTTTTTGTAGTAAAATTAAAATTACTAAGACTAGTCAAAAAAAGAAAATCATTATTAAAAAAATAAATCACAAACTAACATTAAGATATTACATTTTTGTAGGATTAATCAAAAAGATAAAATCATGAAAAAAAATAATAATATATACCATACCATTGGTTCTGGAGCATCGTCCTGCCGGCACATGAGCCATGGAACTCCAATGTCAAGAGATTGAGCCATGTTCGCGCACCAATTCATGTATGCCTTCCCTTCATCTCCATAAGATGACATGACATCGCCATATTCGTTCTCAATCTATATCCATTTTTATTTTAAATAATTAATATTTTGACAAAAACACTTACCATGTATATGACATGTAGCAAAAATTCAAAATAATAATAATAATAATAATAATAATAATAAATTTATAGTTTGAATATTTTTTCATATATATAAATTTCGCATACACACAACACTAATCAAACAAATAACTATGATTATTTTATTTTATTTTATTTTATTTTTTGCCACAATTTCTATGCATGCAATATATAACTCAACGCTAATCAATATTGAATATTACAATATTGTTATGAAACAAAAATTATATGAAATATATTTATAATATACCTGAGCAAGAATAACAGGACCTCCTTGTGATGCAAAAAGGTTTTCTCGTTTCACCATGTCAACAATCAACGTAGTGAAGTTTTGCATCTCATTCTGTAGTGAAAAAAAAAAACTGAATTAATTTAAATAAATTAATTATTAAACAGTAAATAATAACAAATTGAATTAATATGATGAAGATGGTATAAAATTAATTAATTAATTATATATATTACCTTGAAAACATGATTATCAGCTCTCATCTGAATACCAGGCATATTATGCAGCCACACAGGAAAGCCACTGCTCAATGAAAAATACATTAGAATTAAGCGAAAAATAAAAACATAATAATAAAAACAAAAAAAAAACCATCCTCATCTCATACCCATAATTCCATTCAGCACAAACATACGGTCCAATACGAAGAACAGCATAAAGTCCTTCATCTTGGATTGCTTTAAGAAACCTTACAAGGTCTAGGTTGCCACTAAAATCATATTGCCGACGAGCAGGTTCATGAGCATTCCAAAAAACATAAGTTTCAATGGCATCTAGCCCACCTTCCCTTGATTTCTTCATCAAATCCGGCCACATCTATATATATAAATCAAAATATAAACATAAGCTAAATGTTTATCAGAATCAGAGAATTATTAATATGTTGAAAAACTATCAAGATCAGAATATAAAATATTGCCTGATTAGTGCTTCTAGGGTAATGGATTGATCCAGACACAAGAACTATGTGCTTGCCATCAATAATGATGGCCCTATTATCATAAGTCACCTGAGTCGCAGTAGCCCGCCATGTTAGGTTGGTTGCCATTAATATGCAACAACCATTGACTATTGCACCAATCATGTGTACTTATCCAAGATGTCAAAGGTTGGCAGCCACCATTGTTGAAGAAGAGCTGGAGTTGGCAACCACCTTTGTTGAAGAAGAGCCTCCATGAATGCCTATAAATAGAGGCATGTGTTAAAAAGCAAAATGTGAGTGAAGAGAATTATGAAAATGTGAAGAGAGTAGAGAGGAAAAGAGAGCTGCAAGTGCAGCAAAAAGAGTTGAGAGTTGAGTATGAGAGGGTGTAATCCTCCTCATCTGTGTATATGTTTTTATTCTTTCTCTATCTCTAAATATATTGACTTCTCCCGTGGATGTAGGCGGTTTTGCCAAACCACGTTAAATATTATGTCAGTGTGCTTGGCCCTCCTATGAGCAAGTATCAGAACATCACCGGTCGGAATTTCCCAACAATTGGTATCAGAGCTTTTGGTTTAAAGTGGTGTTTGATTTTGCTCAAAAATAAAAGTTGTCAAAATTGTGTTTTGACCATACCACTATATAGAGGAGGAAAAGACGAAGCCACTGGTGAAAACCGCGTCAAAATCAGACGTCGGAAACCTCCGCACGCGCCAGCGGGGTGACTTCCACGTCATCAGCCACGTCAGCAATTCTGCACAGTCATCAGTTACGTCACCTGACTCATCAGCACTATGACCAGTCAAATCGCCACGTCACCCAAAAATCCACCTGAGACTGCCACATCAGATTTGGTGATCCCCTATGTCCTACATGGCTGACACGTCATCACAGCCACATCAGCTCCCTGGGTTTTGATCCAGTGTGGTACATAGACTATTCCTCCTGCCACGTGGCGTCATCTGCAGCGTCTAGTGATCCCAAAGTTTGATTGTTTAAAAGTGAGCCATCTGAAGTCCGATTCGGGTGATCTTAGTGTCGTTTCTAACATTTTTGGCCATGTCGGACACATCTATAAGGTTGGATTTTGCAAATTCGAAGCCAATCCAAGCTGAGTTAGAGCTGAGCCGTGAGCCGAGGGACAGGATTCTGTGTGGTGGAGTCTACGTGCAACCGGTTCTGAGATTGAATCTGGGCCGTTTATCAGGCCAGAATTATTTTGATAAAATATTAGCCATTTGAAGTGCGATTTGGACGATTTCAGACTTGTTTCCAGCTAATTTGATCGTTCCGGATGCAATGGTACGGTTCGATCGTTGAGATTGAGATCAGAAATGACAGTGATGAATTATTAAAGAGAGATTGCCCGATCAGGAGGCATATGATGGTCGATGGAGCTAAAGAAGAAGAAATCACACATGTTTGCCCAATTATATGTGTTGAACTATTATGTGGGGAATTTTCATTGCCTTGAGGGAAGGTAAAATTGGGACACTCTGAGCACCCGATCATTTGGACAATTTGAGGTGGAGAGTGAAATTTGATGAAGACCAATCTTGATGAATCTAAGCACTGGTAGTCTCACCAGATGTTGAGAAATCAGGTATAAAATAAGGATACCCCAGATCACTTGTAAAGGAAAGCCGCGACAAAGCTAGCAAATGGTTGTATATACGCAAAGACAGTACGATGGATAGATATGGCCTAAGAAATTCTGGCTAGGAGATTGGGTTTTAAGCGGGACCATTGTGACCCCTCTAATCTTTCCTGGAAACTTGCTTAATGCAAGGATTATCCATACGGTACTATTTTCGTATATGTGACAGTTTGTTGTGAAACTGTTGAAGACTAGCAGGATGACGGCACAAAGGAACAGTTGGGTTCCGTATGATCAAGGATCTGATGAAGTGGTGATTTCTCCAAGGAAGTTAGATTCGGTGACTGTAATTTCTCGAGGGGAGAATTGATGAAGACCCTGATAATGGAAGAGAAATACAGCATAGGGATAACGATTGGCACCCTATTTTGACTTGGATAGATATTGTGACAAGATGAGCTGCTGTCAAACATAAGCAAGAAATAGGGAGAAATCTGGAGAACCAAAATTGCACGAGAGCACATGAAGATTGTGTAGGAGTACCTGGAGGATCCAACGAGGTACTATAATGAGACAACAGGTACAAAGAGAAGAAGAGTTCCCAGATGAAGCTCAGAGCAGAGATTATGAAAAAGTTGTACAACAAAAAGTCTCTTGTGCTCTTGATAAAGGCAACAAGCGAGGACCTTTTAATGCATGCAAGGATGGAAGGATGAGCTGTTGCAGATGCACCTAATTGAGGGGGTGCAAATGCCTGTGATAAAAGGCGACCGCCTATGATGAAAGGCAAAGACACCAAAGGGAGTTGGTGCGGGTGGAGCTGTTAAGCAGAAAAGGCATAAAAGCTCCAAACATAGAAATTGAAGTGGAGGATTGCGAGGAGTATACCGCAACTTTTTCTTTCTATGTAATTAGTGGCCAAGAATTTATGGAGCCACTTTGAAGCATCTTAGCTGAAGGAGGATGCGACCGCCTATAAAAGGCGAAGACACCTTAAAGAGAAGGTGTGAGGGCTATGAAATGAGCCCATGATCAGATCGTCGCATGACGATGAGCGGAGACACCTCAGGAAAAGGTGTGAGGGTCGTGGAAGGAGCCCAGTTCAGAACGCCCCAGAGCCAATGTGATGGCTAGGTATGAGTGGACAGATGGATAGCCAATAAAAAGGCTATGATGAGTATGGAGACAAATGCAGGATCGACTTTCATAGATATTGCCCCCATGCTAAAGATCAATGAGCTAGAAGACATTTGCTTTGGACAATAAGTGGATGACTTGTGGAGCATTAAGACGCGGCTGCTATGAAGGAGCAGAGGGCATGCGCAGGTTCCGGGAACAAGTTGACTCTTGTCAAGGTGGTGAGCTCGGTAATGGCATTGTAATACTTAGAGTATGAAGACAGATATGGATCAACCTTTTATGGGTTGCCCTCATGGTTAAAGGTGGAAAGATACCTAGACTCTTGAGACTAAGAGTGGGAAACTCATGGAGAAGTAAGGCGTGGTTCCTAGGGTGGAACAGAGGGCAGACGCAACTCCTGGATGAGTAGACTCTTGGAAGAGTGGTGAGCTTGTGATCATATTGAGATACTCAGATAATAACTATCGCACTTGAAATATCCATTTGAGGGGGTGTTATAAGCCTTGATGTGAGGCTTGATGAATCATTCCAAACTGAGCATGGTTGATAAGCTCGGAGGGGAATGTTGTTCCAGAGACAAGCGTTAACACTATTCAGATGTGATGTGGCAAACCATCTGGTTATAGTGATCCTTTTGTGTGAGAAAAGGTGTGCTTTAGTTACTCTGATGATTGAAAGGTTTGGCAAGTACCTGTAAACTTGGTCACAAACGCTCTAAAATGGAAAGCTTGGAAGAGCTACAAGATGCAAGCTTGTGTTGAAGAAGAAAGAGGACAGTTGCCTCACATTAATGGCAAAGGGGGTGATTGTTAGGTTGGTTGCCATTAATGTGCAACAACCATTGACTATTGCACTAACCATGTGTACTCATCCAAGATGTCAAAGGTTGGCAACCACCATTGTTGAAGAAGAGCTGGAGTTAGCAACCACCTTTGTTGAAGAAGAGCCTCCATGAATGCCTATAAATAGAGGCATGTGTTAGAGAGCAAAATATGAGTGAAGAGAATTATGAAAATGTAAAGAGAGTAGAGAGGAAAAGAGAGCTGCAATGGCAGCAGCCTTGCTGCCATTGCAGCAGCTGCAAGTGCAGCAAAAAGAATTGAGAGTTGAGTATGAGAGGGTGTAATCCTCCTCCTCTGTGTATATGTTTTTATTCTTTCTCTATCTCTAAATATATTGACTTCTCCCGTGGATGTAGGCGGTTTTGCCAAACCACGTTAAATATTATGTCAGTGTGCTTGGCCCTCCTATGAGCAAGTATCAGAACATCACCGGTCGGAATTTCCCAACATGCCAGACGTGCAAAAACAAACGATGAAGAGAGCAAGAATCCCTGAAGACGACATGTTTATCGATCAAGCAAGAGAATGGTGAGTGGATATTGTCACCTGTTCTTATACATATAGAAGTAGAGAGTGAGTTAGAGACATATATGCTCGATCTCAAAAAGATGTTGTATCTTATCCTTATCCTTTTAAAATCAGATTGTTTATTTTTTATATCTTTCTTTCTTTCATCTTAACTAGAAATTAAAATACAAGTAACCATATATCAAGAAATTAAAATAATATTAACTAATTCATGATAAATTTACACCATGCAACTCCCTGTTGCATTTATAGTTTTGATCGGTCTGTGTCGCGAATTGCTCCTGCTATTGAGTTCACTTATGGTCCTGACGGGTCTGTTACGGTAAAGACATCTTCTAGCAGCGGGTCTGGTGCGTGTCCTGGCGGGTCTGTTACGGTAAAGACGTCTTCTAGCAGCGGGTCTCGTGCGTTAGGGAAAAAGACTTCTTTAAACATTTGACTTCTTGAGCATAATATTTTGTTCTCCTCTACATAAAGTTTGTCTTTGCCGTGCTACCAGAGGTGGAATGATATTTTTCCAGGTGACCTAGAGATATTTGCATATTCATTGGAGATAATTTACTAGTTTAAATTTAATTTTTTGCATAGTTGAATTATATAAGCACTTAAAAAAAAACCTAAAGGATGAGTCAAAGGGTATTTAAGTATTTTTTTCCTCCATTTTTTTTACTCTACTCTATTTGAAATAGGGGAAAATTAGTATTTTCAAAATAAAAATAAAAATAAAAAAATTTATTGACATATGTTGTAATCCAATTTTGGATTCACTAAGATTTTCTCAAATGTTATTTTATTTGATTATTCATAAAAAAAAAACAAAAAAAGTAATAATAATAAAAAAAAAAGTAAAATATATTTTCTCGAGTCAACCGCATCTTTCGATCAAAACCGAGTCCATCGGATCAATACGGGTCTCACCATGTTGACCGGGATGAAAAATGAGTTTCAGACCGTTTCGGGTCAAAACCGTTATTTTTTGTCAA